GGGGGGGGGGGGGGAGGGCGCATCTTTGCAAAGGGGCAAATAAAGGGAAGGGGTGCATCCAACTTTTAGTCCCCAAGAAGGCACGGAAGTGTCTTTGCAAAAAAGCCCCCTCCCCTCTTTTCCAAGCCCCTCTTTTCTCCCAGATTTGCAAAAGGATCTACTAAAATCCCAGAGGGGGGGGGCTGATTTATGGGGAGGGTCTCTCCCTCATTGCAAGCCTCCATTACAAGATAGAGTTACCCCAACATAACTTCTGCAGGCACCCACAGAAGCACCCCCCAAACTCGGGACTCGCCCCCCACCCCCACCCCTTTTGACTACAACTCCCATCAGGCTCCCCCCCCCTCCAGTGGTTTTTCTCCCAGGTTTGCAAAGGGATCTCCTGGATCCCAGAGGAGGGGGCTGATTTACACCCCCCCTCGCCTTTACCCCAAACATCTTCCCTCACCACCCCAGGTCTCCCCCCCTCCCACCTTTGACTACAAATCCCATCAGCCTCCACCTCTCCAAAGGAAGATAAATGACCCTACAGCTAACCCTCCCCCAGAAGACCTCCGGGACCATTAGCCTGCCCCTGCGCCCCACCCACCCCCCGGGTCCCAGAAGCGATCAGGGCCGCGGGGAGGGGAGGTTGGGAGTTGTAGTCCCCGGGGCCTGGAGGTCTGAGGAGGATGGGGCTTTTCAGCGAGGGCGGCGAAAGAGGCAAGGCAGGAGGGGTGGGCGGCGGCGTCGTCCCTCCACGGGGCCCCGAGGCGGAGGGCGGTCCCCGACGAAGCCAGGCCAGGCCCGGGACTAGGCCTCGCCGCCTCAGGACGCAACCCGGGCCCGGCCGCTCACCCCTCCCCGCTGTCGTCCCCCGCTTTGTACCTTCTTCTTGGCCGCCGCCAGCTTGTTCTGCCTGCTGTCGTCCGCCATCTCCCCGCCCGGACCCAGCCACGTCAACCCGGCAGGCGGCGCGACGCGACGCGGCTGGGTCGGCCCGAGGCTCCACCCGCAAACCGGGCCAGGTCGGCCGCCGCGGTTACTGCGCACGCGCGGGGACGGGGCTGACAGGCGGACGGGGCGCCGCCGCCGTTGGGCCAATGGGAAGGAGGCCCCGCCCTTTGCCGCCCCGCCCTTTGCCGCCCCGCCGAGGCTGGGCTGGCTGGAGACGCGTCTGTTTGGCTCCGCGCAAGCGCGGCGGACGCGCATGCGCCCTCTTCTGCTTTCAGCCTCTAATGGCCGACCTTCTGTGGCGTTTCTGCTCTTTTCGTTTTTCTTTGTCAACGACGTACGCGAATCTGTGCTTCTTCTTTCTTCTGGTGTATAGTGATGCAATGAGAAAGGGCTTTTAAAAAAAAGGATTTAAAAAGTCTCAAGGGAAAAGGCGGGGGAAGGCCAACAGAATCAGGCTGTGGATGATGGGACCTGGGGTTGGTGGGTAGTGGGTGGGGGACCCCTAGCTACCCAGAGCCTGGAGCCACCATGCCCATCATCCTCAGAGCAGCAGCTTAGAGACTCAGCGGAGCTTTTCCTGAGGCTGTGGGGGTTTCTGGTTTCTCCCACTACAGCTCCCATCATCCCCAGCCTGACTCCCATCACCTGACTCCCAGCTCCCATCATCCCCAGGAGAAAGATGGGAGCTGGAGTCCCCTTGCCCTGAAAAGGTCAGGGGACTAATGTTAGGGGAGAGGGGTTGCAGCTTTGCAATACCCTCCTTCCCAAAACCAGGAGCTTTTTGTGAAGAAAGCTGCTTGCTGAGCTGGACTGGGAAACTCTCATTTTTAGGCTTCCCTTTGGATAGTATCAGGTCCAACCTGTTGGGCTGCTTTCCACAATTTTATTATTATATTATTATTTTAAATGCATGTGGTTTTGCCGAATCATCTGACAGGTGGTTTTTGTTTTCCAAAGGGGGAGCCAGCCTAAAGATGCATCTTCACAGCATTGCAGATGCCCTTTTTTAACCTTTCCCCCCTCCCCAACAGGCTCGAAATCCCCAATAAATGATTGGGGCAATCCTTTTGAAAGCTGGCTTAGCTAACCAAGGCAAGGCAACCTCTGCCAGATGGCTGCGATCAAAGCTGGTATTTCAGGTCCCTTCCCACTGAGTCATTCGGCAATCAGGTTGGCTCACAAAGGACAGGAGTAGGAAGGGACCTCATCAAAGAACATGTTTTTCCTCCTAGAGTTGAGCCTCCCCAAGTTTGCAAAGCCCCAATCCAAGTTGCACTATCCTGCAGGTTGCATGTCTTAAAGGAGCGTGGCAGAATATTTGGCTCTTGCTGGGTTGAATCTCCAAGGTGCTTTGCCAAATACAAAGGAAAGTGCTGGGGAAAACCCCAGAAAGGCTGGGGCTGTGTTAAGAGACTGGACAGCCACTTGTCTGTAAGGATCTCCTGTTTGAGGCAGGGGGCTGGACTAGAAGACCTCTAAGGTCCTTTCTAGCTCTATTTTAGATGGAAAAGGTGGAAGTTGGGCAGCAAATACATTGAATAAATTATTTTTTATTGTAAGGGTGCAACATTTTGCCTAATAGTTGAGGAATCCGCAATATCGATTTAACCCCATGAAATCCTTCATTGACTTTTAAAGCACCATCTTATCATGGATGTCAGTGCTATTCCAAAACTTCTGTTATCCCTAACACTAACTCCTAGTTTTAACAAAAAGTCTAAATTTGGTTTTTAGTATAATGCTTGCCTTGCAATTTCCTACAAACCTTTCTGTTTGTGGTTTTTAATCTGTTTGCCTTGCTGGCCCCTTTTCACTATTATGTCATAGCCCCTTGTACGTTGGCCATTGTTTTCTGATGTTTTACTTTTGAATCGTTCCAATTTTTTTAAAAATTGTGATCTTTTTATGTCGCCGCTTTGACAGAACAGAGATGTATCCCTGCAAGGAATAAGCCAACAATCTCCAGTTTCTGGACTGCAACCCAGCGAACAAGATGCTTATGAATCATGCATGACTGTGAGCTGCAAAAATCCATTTATTCTTTCTGTTCCCAACGACTGTATGAATCGTCAGATGCAGAAGGAAAAGGAAGTTGTTCCAGATTGCAGTTCTACCACCAACTTGGAAAATAGTCTGGCTAAACAAGAACATGAATCCCCTTTGAATCAAGGGGGCAAACATAACCTAGGATTAAGGGGGAAAATCTCCCCCCAACCTTTAATATGGAGGTAAGAGCGGTTTAAATCTTGCACTTTAATTCATTTCTTGGCTAACCTGAGGATTCAGGTTTGTTCTGACTCATTTGAAGAACTTTTAAATTCTTTTCTTGACCTTCTTTCTTTCTTTTTAAATTCAGGACACCTCAAACAGTCCGTAGAAGTTGTAACGCAAGCTTTAAATCTCCCGTAAGTGTGTATAAAATCAAATTTCTTATCCCTCTATATAATGTGCATTGATAGATGGGTCTGACATTCCAGGAATGTAGGAAGCAGTTTTGGCAGCCACAATTGTAGCCCAGATTCCTTGAGAAGAACTTCTGTTGGGTGATTTTGATACATGGCCAGGATCCACTGGGCTGTAAACCAAGTGGGACTAAAAGTTAAATTCAACAGGTCAAAATAAGAGTACGCCTGTTGATTGGCTCAATATCGTTATTTGCAATCATAAAACTAAATTGTATCAATTTTTTTAAAGGTAAATCAACATTTTTGGAGACTCTTGATTTAATTTTCTTAGAAAACGCTAAGCTATAAACCCATGATATATTGGTTGGGTTGGATTTTTAGCGAGTGGGACAGGTTGCAACCTAAGAGCCTTTTTGCAAGATATGCAAATCTTTTGCTTATAATAATAGGTTGCCTTGGAATCTCAACTTCTTTTTTATAAACCAAAGATGATTATTTTGACAATCTCACTGTCAGGAAAACTGGAGGTATGGTGCAATAACATTTTTCAGAGTAAACATCTATTTTCTTGGCAATAGATATATACGACAAAGGGCTGAGTAGATTTTGGCTCTGTATGGTGTTCATTCCCCACCTCACCCTGATACCGTTTCCCCGAAAATACAACCTACCCTGAAAGTAAGTCCTAGCTTGATTTTTACACTTGCGCCCAATATAATCCCTAATTAAGATCCCGCCCACTCGAGTGCACAGGTAAAAATTAAGCTAGGGTGGGGAAAGGGGGTGGAGCTGCCCTACTACTTACCTTTGGACAGTTGTAGCCAGGCCTCGCCCACCCTGATACCTGCCGTGCTGCAGCCAGCAAGGCTGGTCAGGCTTTCCTGAAGGCCTTGGTAGCTGATAACAAAGCTCTGGATTGATCCAGAGTTCTGTTATCGGCCTCAGAGGCCTTTAGGAAGGCCCTTGCCGGCTGCAGAAAAAAAATTCCTGAAGGCCTCTGACAGTGAAAAGGAGGCTGGGGCAACCCATGCAAGTGAAGTTGTTCAGTGGCGGGAGGACATCCCCCGAAAATAAGACCTGGTGCTTTTTTTATGGCAAAAAAATATAAGACAGGGTCTTATTTAGGGGAAACACAATAGCTCTGAAGCGATTGTAAAACCTCTTGGCATCAACACCCCCACCGCAGTGCTGAAATCATAAAAACATTTAACATTATCTGTCTTTCTCTCTTCCAACAGGTTCTTCCTCCTCCAAGGAGCTGCCCGCCTGCTGATAAGGACATTTTGCAGCACGAAATTGAAGAACTAAAACGCAAGGAACTTGCTGTAGATCAGGAAATAGCACAAATCAAGACCGAGTATGTATTTATACATGTTTTATGTACACTAAGAGATCCATTTCAACTTGCTGTATTGCATGGGTGGGCAGAGGCAGCTTGAGTACAGTAACTTTTTCAGGAGGAAAGTTGAGTTCATTTACGTGGGCCAGACCTACTGTTTGGAGAACGGAGTGCTCTGGACAACTCCAAAGACCTCTTTTTCTTCTGTAGTTTTGTGTTTCTATGAGGCTGTTTTTCACAAAGATACAGATATAGATGAACAAGAGTTGGAAGGGGCCTTGTAGGCCATCTAGTCCAACCCCCCACCCAAGCAGGAGACCCTTCACCATTTCTGAAAGCTTCCAGGGATGAAGCTCCCACAACTTCCGAAGGCAACCTCTGTTCTATTGGTTGATTGTCCTCACTGTCAGAAAAAAATTTCTCCTTATTTCCAGGTTGAATATCTCTTGTTTTGTTTCCATTGTTCCTTGTCTGGCCTTCAGGTGCTTTGGAAAATAACTTGACCCCTTCCTCTCTGTGGCAGCCCCTCAAATATTGGAAGACTGCTATCATGTCTCCCCTGATGTTTCTCTACACTAGACTAGCCATGCCCAGTTCCTGCAACCATTCATCGTATGTTTTAGCCTCTGGAGGAGGCTAAAACCATTGAATGACCCCAGCACAGCCTGATTGCCAGATTAGTGAATAAAGTGGACTATTTTAAAATTACAGTACCTCAGGAATGGGGTTGACACATGTTATTAATTTAAGCAAGGCTGGGGTTACTAGAAAGCGGGAGAATACATATAAAATGGAGTCATAAATATTTTTTCTCGAATCTTGTTCCTCTTCCAGCAGCTCTTAAGAATCACACATCTGGTTTGTCTTGAATTTTCCTGATCTTGGGTTTTTTCTTTCCAGAGGATACAGCCTGGAGGAACTGGAAAATCACATTACTCTGCTTCATGAATACAACGAGATCAAAGACACTGGACAAATGCTTTTAGGTAGATTGGGTAAGGACTAATATAGAATCATACTGGGTGGGTGTAGGTACATTTAAAAAAAAACCTTAAACATTCTCCTTCAGATAACTTAGCATTGTCCTTCACCGCCTGGTGTCTCTAAGATGCACACCAACATCTGGACTTGCAGCTGTTGGGGAAAAGTAACTTAAAGCAGTCGGGGTTTTCTCAATTTCTCCAGACTCATAGGGCAAATTTAAGCAACTTTAACACCAGTGATTTACATGATAGGATTAATGAAAGGAAAATAATCTGGGACATGAAATCATAAAACTGGGTTGCAGAGACGCTAGTCTTTAAACAAAAGTTAAGTTTTATGAGGGAGAGTTTGGTGGACTTGTTAAAGGCACTGAGCTACAAACTAAGAAACGGTGTGTTTTAGTTCTGCATGGGGCCAGCTCAGTCATACTCTCAGTCTAGGAGAAAGAAGGCAAGGGAAACATAAAATAAAATAAAAGGCTGCCAAGAAAACTCTACTGACTTGTCCAGAGGGTCACCAAAAGTCATGATTAGCCCCGAGGCACAAAATTAAGAAAATGCACAAAAATCTACGAACCCAGTCAAGAAAGTTTTGTTGTTATTTTTTGTTGTTATCATCATTATCAATATTCATTAGACATGAAACTCGGTCAACTGAACATTTAAAAATGTATCACAAATATCATTGACTGGCGCTAATGGTTGATACGGGTTGCTGCCAGCATCCTAAGTATCTTCTTAAAATATACAATGTTCCGAGTAGCACAGTTTTTTTGCCGTTCCGCTGGTGTTATTGCAGAAAGCTGCAATTTCTTGATGTGTTTTGGAAAAATTTTGGACATGGTGCCAACTGGCCCTAGGACAATGGGTATCGCTGTGATATGCTTCATCCATAATTGTGTAGTTTCGATGGATTATTATTATTCATCGCACAGTCAGCCGGATGTTCAGGCTGGGTTTGGCATTTTTGTCTACCTATTGAGTCCTTACCAAGAACCTGGGGTAGGCAAATCTGGATGTTTGATGGTGTTATAGAGATCGCTGCCGGATGGAAGCTGTTCCAAGCAAAGCTGCCTTCTGCAATTGACCGATGGCAAATTTGTCAATGCCACTGATGGTGTTCAAGGGGTGCTCCAGTTGTTTCGGGACTGCACCCAAGGCACCTTTTACCATTGGTACTACCCTTGCTTGCCTTTGCCACAGTCATTATATTTCTATTTGTAGATTATTATTATTATTATTATTATTATTTAATCTTTAGTGAGATTCACAGACTTTGGGGCTGGTTAGTAGCTCAACAGCTCGAGTCCTAACCTAGGAACTGTTCAGGTAGCATCGGAGGATATAAGCTGTTCCAAGCAGGGTGGTTTTTTGTAGAATCGGTATTCAAGTCTGATAAATTCAGGATTTCCTATTATTATTATTAATTATTATTATTATTATTATTATTTATTAAATATAAATTAATAATGGTCTCTTGCCTGGGTGGACTAGATGATCTACAAAGTCCCTTCCAACTCTGTTAATATGACTAGCTTTCCAATTACAGAGAGTTTGTGGAAGCAGTTGCTGCCTTGTTTGTGTTTTCTCTTTCCACGTCATTTACACAATCTTCTTTGTGTGATTTTTCTCCTAGCTGCGATCAGGGGCGTCACCACCAAAGACCTCTACCCCGAATTTGACCTGGACCTTAATGATTAGGAGGAATGTAAAACATTGACACACCACCTAGACGGCGGAAATATAATACGTGGTAAAAAGGCAACCACTGTAAGTTCATTATTCCCCCAGAAATGTTAACGAAACTATAGCTTTAATTGGGGGGGGGCAAAAAAACCCCATTTAATGAAGAAGCTGTTGAACTGACTACTGCCATTTGGAGATGGACAGAATAGAATTTTCTGCACTGGCTTGAGGAATTGTTAATGGTCTTATTTGTTGCGAGAATTGACCAGGCTAAAATGTAAAACCATAAAAATAGCAAAGGTTGTATTAATTGTATAAAAGCTGCAAGGGTCATTGATGATCGAAATGGAATTTCCTTCAGCCTTGGATGCATTCAACTTCAGCCCTGCTTTCTTCTCCCCCCCGCAAAGAGGGCTGGATTTGAAAGTGGAATCCTCTCCAAATCGTCACGAATTGTTAACTATGCTCTGAAATGTCTTCAAATACAGCTTTTGAAAAGAGTGAGGGACTTTGCTCTTTTGGAACAGGAAACAACATTGTCTATAAAAACAGTGCAATTTTTTTGCTTGGAAGTGAAATTTCAAAAGCATTTGTGAGATGGTTTAGCTCTGCCGCTGAAATAAAGGGATGTGTTTTTGCGTTCAAATCCAGACACTGCATTCCACAGATGTGGGCATAAACTGAAAAACCAGATCAAACCTTTTGAGTTCCATTTAGTAACCAATATCTGCTAAGAAGGTTTATTTCTGTGCGAGGAAGAAACAAAATAGCTTATTTTAATAGAAATTCGGTTGGTGTTTGAAATACACAACAGTAGTAACAATCTGTTACTTTGAAATACCCAATTTCAGCCACAACAACTAATTTTACTGTGCTGGATCTGGGTACAGTATCCCTTCCTTCCTTCTATCCATCCATCCATCCATCCCTTTTCTCATCTTCCTTCCTTTCTTCCATCCATTCTTGCCTTCTCTCATCTCCTTCCATCCATTCATCCTCTCTTCCTTCCTTGCTTCCATCCATCCCTTCTCTCATCTCCTTCCATCCATCCTTCCCTTTTCTCATCTCCTTCCCTCCTTCCTTCCATCGTTTCCTTCTCTCATCTTCCTTCCTCCCCCTTAAATTGCAATATCTTTGGTACGTTGTGCACAGTTTTAGAGAGGAACCAGCCAACTTGGAACCTCCTCATCCAAGCTAAACATTGGAATTCTGGGATGTTTCGCACGGCTTTTCCCAATATTCTTGAGATTTGGGTCAGATCTGTTCCCTTTCACCGTCCACCCTGGCGTTCAGGTGCGCAAAACTGTTGTGAAGTTCAGCTTCTACTTTCTGTTTGGCTTGCAAAATTGCCCTCTGGATGTTCGGGAGGTCCCACTCCGTCCTCAGCAGGGCATCGTCCAGCACAAAGACGCCGTCACGTACCCGCCTCACCTGGCTGCACACCGCCGTGGTCTTCAGCTCCAACCCTATCTCGTGAACTATCTTGCGGAGATACTGTTGGTTCTCGTGCAAGCAGTGAATTTCTAAGAAAGGCAGGAAAGGAAAGCCAGTCGCTCAGCCAGACTTAAAAGTTGTAAATTCATAATTACCACTTGGAGAGTTGAATGTGTCTCTAAAGGAGGGATCCCCAAACTTGGCAACTTTAAGACTTGTGAACTCCCCAGAATTCCCCAGCCAGCCGTGTCTGTATCTTTTTTCTCTTAACCTCCTAAAGTGCAGATTGCAGAGGGAAGGGGATTACAAGAGAGTAAACTATGCCGGCTGGAGAATTCTGGGAGTTGGAAGTCCACAAGTCTTAAAGTTACCAAGTTTGGAGACCTCTGCTCTAAAAGCCATGTGTTCCCTCTCCCTCCAGTTGACTAAAATAATAATTTCAGGCTGGCCTGGCTAAGAAAGAAATAATCTTTGAGCCATTTAGGCATCTTATGGAAAACTTCCAATTCTTTTGTCTTTTTTAGCCCAATTCTGGTAAATCAGGTTTAATACTCGGTTCTTGAGTTAAAAAACATTCTTATTGGCCCACTTTTTATTTCCTTGACTAGATGCATCAGGAATTTTAGCAGAACGTAGGTTCTGCCTTTAACTGCAGCATTTTCACCTTCCTTTGATGTTGCTGAAAATTCAGTACTGTGGACAAAGTGAAGAATCACCAGGTGTCCCATCATTTAAGTTCAACGTTTCCCAACTTTGGCCTCTTTAAAATGTCTGGACTTCAATTTCCAGAACTCCCCAGCCTGGGAAATTCTGGGAGTTGAAGTGCAGACATTTTAAAGTTGGCCAAGGTTGAGAAACGCTGATTAACTCTAAAGCAATGCTGATTATTTTTGCAGCAACCCCACTAGCAATCCAACCCACCGCTCGTTCATTCCTTCCAAAGCCATCTTTTTTTACAGTTTGAAGTGACGGGAACAAAGTTTAAAGATTTAAAGAGGGCTTCCGGAACTTAAATTTCCTATTTTTAAATCAAACAAGGGCACCAGTCTGCCTTACTCTAAGAGTAATCATCATCATCATCTTTCAATGACCCCATAGTCTCTTGTGGGGTGGAGTCTGGGCAAACTGAATGGAGCTGAGTGTTTTCTGGCCGGATGCCCTTCCTGTTGCCAGGGTGGAGTTATATATTCAGCTGATAAATTTTCATTCTGCCCGGAGAGAGAATATCTGCCTCTATCTAGGATTGAACTCACAGCCTTCTGATTGTGAGAGGCAAGAGCTCCACCTCTAGGCCACCGCGCCACTAAGAGAGAAGGCCATACCCAGCTGGAATTCAGGCGGTTCAAAACGGAGGCATCGCACTGCCGTGATCAAAGGGGGGCTTTTGTTCATCGGCCGAATTAGGCCTTTAACCGCCAGCTCATAGGATTCTTGAGTTTTCAGGTCGAGGTTAGCCCACCTGGAAAGGGATGGGGATAAAAAAACAGAAGCATAATTATTTGGGAACAGGTCAATCCGGGATGCGAGACCGGTGTCCTTTGACAGCAGGGGGGTCAAACTGACGGTGTCACATGACATATCGGGACTTTCCCCCTTCGTTAAACCAGGAGGAGGCCTGGCCTTGGAGGTCTTATAGTTCAACCCCCTGCTGAAGCAGGAGATCCTATACCAGTTCACATAACTGTTCAGTCTCTTCTTAAAAACCTCCAGTGATCCACAACTTCTTATGGCAAAGCTGTTGGTTAATCGTCATTATTAGGAAGTTCTTCCGGGTTGCTTCTCTCTTCGATTAGTTTCTATCCATTGTTTCTTGCCATGTGGTGCTTTGGAGAATAATTTGACCCCATTTTCTTTGGGGCAGCCCCTCAAATACTGGAATACTGCTATCATGTCACTCCTAATTCTTCTTTAGGCTAGCCAAACCCAAATCCCGCACCTGTTCTTCGTAGGTTTTAGTCTCCAGGGCTTTAATCTTCTTATAGGCCTGGAGACTAAAACATATGAAGAATGGTTGCAGGATTTGGGTGTTGCTGTTCTCTGCACTTTCCCCCCAAACTTCTGGATTTAAAGAGGACAGCGGTTAACAAATGCAGTGGTTCGCTTAGCAACTCTGGCTAAAAGGACGTAAAAGTGATTCTTAGCCACCTTATTTACCAACGGAAATTCTGGTCCCATGTCAAAGACTTATCTGCATTGTTTGCAAAGGCTATCTGCAATATTTATATGCCAAAAGAAGTATGCGCATCTCCTCCCCAACCCTCCAAACCCAGATCCTGGATTCCCTGCTGGAAAACTCCGGTTAACTTAACCCAACAACCCCAATAGTCATGGTTTTCTTTATTTATCGTGCCAAGTTTTGAGTGCAACAGCAAAGCCCCGGTTAGAATTGGAATTAGCTACTGGAATTTTCTGGAGGAGAGCCAAGAGCAACAAGGGTTGTAACAAGGGTGTGTGTTATGTTGTGAGAAGCCAGCTTTCCCTAACCTGGTGTGCCCCAGGTGTATGTTGGACTTCTGTTTTTCCCGTCAGTCCCAGGCTGTGGAAAGGTGATGGCAGCCACGACTGTCAAGTGGCCGCCAGTTAAAACGATCCGTTTCAGCAGAGTTATAAAGTCTGCAGTGTTATATAGGTTTTCCTGCTTGAGCAGGGGGCTGGACTAGACAACCTTCAAGGGTCCCTTCCAGCAGCATTCTATTCTAATTCAAGTTGGCATTGGTCGCAACTTTACAGGTTACCACCTGGCCCTGTGTTTCACCTTTTTTTTTTTTTTACAAGACTCCACGCTCGGTTCGAACATAGGAATTATTTTAATTTCTGCCACATGCTGCGAAAGTCACTCCTGCCCTGAAACCACATTTCCCACCCAATCCACCCCTCCAAAAAAAATGATGTTTTGCCACCGTTCAGCCTCATCTCCCAACTGAGAAAATTTTGCAATTCGGGGGAACTAAATCACATTTTTTAAAAATAAATTGGGACCCACACAGGAGATCAGACCACTTCAATTCCCAGCCGTCGCCAACTTGGGCACAGTTCGTTTTATTTTAGATTTAAGAGCCGTTTTCTGAGCTCGGCCTTCACTCTTATCCACCGTCTCTTGATCGTTTTCCCTCTTCGGCCCTGCCAGGAGGGATTTGCGAAACCCTGCACACCCCTGACTTGGTGCAGGACGGCACAGCTTCCCGATTTCCCCCGCGTCCCGAGTTTAAGGCTTCTTCTCGTCCTCTCCCAAAGGGACGGAAGGCGGCATTTCCTGCTGGGGCATGTTCTGCAGGAATTGCAAGAACTCTTCGGCCCGCCGATCCGCCTCGGTCTCGGGGCGCAAATAGCACCAGAGGAGGATGGCCGCAAGGATCAGGCTGATCAGCATGGCCCGCCAGAGGGGCTGCTGGTGGTCGCTGCCCATGGATTGCCGCATGGTCCAGTGGCGGGGATTGGCACGGCTCTTGGTGAAGCACAGCGGCTCATCGCTCTCGGGCTCCTTGCTCTCTTTGGGCGGGCTGTAGCAACGCCGCAGGAGGAAGCCGCGGGATGGAGGCGGCCTGCGAAGAAAACAGAAGGAGGTTGGTGAGAGCCTCTGTTGCCACCTCGCCGGGCCAACCTTCTTCCTGCCTCTCCAGCCAGAGCCTGTGGATTTCAAGACAGGGAGTCCTCGACTTACGAACAGTCACTTAACGAATGTTTGAAGTTACGTCAGGGCTACTTACGACTCTTTCAGAGTTACGACCTCTGTACGGGTAACACACCCATGGTCCCGGGTACGCATTTTGGGCACTTAGCACCCGGCTCGCCAATTTTTCCATCAGCTTTTGCCCATTTCCAGTGTTTTTTTTCCTTCTTTCCGGCCCAGAAATGCGTTCGCTCAACGGCTGCTGCATTCGTTCACTGAATGACCGTTGTAAACAAAACCGTGGCGGCTTCCAATCTGATCCCGCGAGGCCTCACCCGTACGACTGCAGTGACTGACAGCCGTAAATTCCTGGCTCGGTTATGGTCATAAATCAAGAACTACCAAGTGGCCGGCAGCGGGAAATTGACGTGGTCTAAAACTTGCGTGCACAATATAGATTCTTTCGCTAAGAAGTCCACCACACCTCAAGTCTTCGCTTTCGAAAGCTGCTCTCAGTGGGCTTATTTTGTGTTAACAATCCTCAGGTAGAAAGGAGATTTTAGAGGGTTTCCCTCCCCCAATCTAGATCCTTTCTGAGCTTGCTTTTCTTGCAGACGCTTCATAACCCTAACTAGGTATCATCATCGCTAGCACTGATGCAATAACCTAGTTGGGTCATGAAACATCTGCCAGAAAACCAACAAGCTCAGAGAACACCAAGGACCCCACAGTCCTCCTCCTCCTCCCATCCCCTCTCTTCTCGCACCGATGATGTTCCCTAGTTGGGTAATGAAACATCTGCAAGAAAACCAGCAAACTCAGAGAGTACCAAGGACCCCCTCCTTTCAACCCTGAGCTACAAATATTCTCCTTCATTTGATCCTTTCTCTTCCTGAATGTCCCTACCTCTGGGCAGTCCGCTTGCATACCACACCACAAGTGTGGTGCCCTTTCGAACACGGTCAACTGCAGTTTTGATACTCACTGTAGTAAAGCTTTGTGATTGGATCCCTGGATCACCGAAACAATCCGCTCCAGCTTCTCCTGCGTTACATGATCTCCAAGGAAGAAGAAGAAGACAAGCCAGTGTTAAGTTTCCCTTCCTTTGGTTTCCCCCATCTTTTCCCAAAGCCATTCAGAAAGTTCCAATCCTGGAAAAAAAATCACCAACTGTAGCGTGTGTCACCTTAGGTCCTCTGGACACATCACTTACCAAATGTGCTTCTCTCAATCAGTTTGCCGGTGTCTGAGAAATCGTCGGTGGCTTTGCCGAACAAGCCAGTGACGGTGTATGCCTTTGAAAAGGAAAACATCCTGATTGCACACACAGCGGATTGCAAAAACCCAGGGCAACAGTTCCTAAAAGCAGAATGTCATCCAAGAAAAGACAAACAGCCCAACCTATTGTTTTGGCCAGAAATTGTTCTTCTTTATATAAATAGAAAGAAAACCCCACTCCCTTCTAGCGCTGCTGATGTTACCTGGATGGGTGGATGGATGGAGAGAGACAGAGAGAAAGAGAAAGGTAGATAGATACCCGGTTTCCTTGAAAATACGACTGCCCTGAAAGTAAGTCTTAGCTTGATTTTTACACGTGTGCCCAATATAAGCCATACATCCCCCCTCCAAAAAAAATTCCAGAGTGCGTGGGTAAAGTGAGATTACTGGATGACATCCCCCAAAAATAAGACCTGGTGCCTTTTTTGGTGGCCAAAAAAATATAAGACAGGGTCTTATTTTCGGGGAAATACGGTAGATAGATATAAAGATAGATAAGAAATAAAAATAAAGAGATATAGATAGATAAAAGAGAGAGAGAGAGATAGCAGTAACATTTAGAATTTCAGTGAGAACAATTAACCAGTAGAATGACTTCCCTCCACAATTTGTGGGTGCTCCAACACTGGAGGTTTTTAGCAATAGTAATAGCGCTTAGACTTATATACCGCTTTATAGTGCCCTCTCTAAGTGGTTTACAGAGTCAGCCTCTTGCCCCCAACAATCTGGGTCCTCATTTGACCCACCTCGGAAGGATGGAAGGCTGAGTCAACTTTGAGCCAGCCAGGATCGAACTACCAAACTTCTGGCAGCCAATACTGCATTCTAACCACTGCGCACCACCACAGCTCATATCCTCATCCTAACCCTAAACATCAGAAATGGAAAGGAATGGCTCACCTTGGTAAGATGTGCGTTGTACCATTTTCTGAGCAACTTGGTGCCATAACCAACACCGAGCACTGATGGAATAAAACACAAAACGCAAACAACTGAGAATTAAAAAATCCCATTACTTCCTATCAATAGATTCTAGCAGCCAGATCAAATTGACTTTCAATTCATCCGGGTAGGAAGAATAACACAGAGCACTGGATAGTCAAAGTGGACCAAGAATTTTTTTAAAAAATTGTGCAAAATTGTAATTTCCCCATCCTAGAAAAAATCCGGATCAGCCCCAGATGGGAGAAGCTAAAAAAAACCCAATCCAATGAAGCGGAATAAACTCTTCTTAACAGGTTAACGGAAACATTTTCTAAAAGCCCAACGAATTGCAGGAGAATAGTGATGCTCTGTTAAAAGCTGGCTAGTACATTTGACCAAGCCCCTCCCTCCCCACTTGAGGAATTTTAATACCTAGAGTTTCTTTTACTTACCGAAAACTCCCGAGGATTGCATATCCAGATGATCACCCACCCCAATTTTTAATTCCGTAAAAACCGGTCCTGAAACTGAACAGAAAACCAGTGTGGATTTTAACAGTGAAAGGACAGTTCCATGGTGCAAAGCAAAAAAAAAAAAACACCTCCTTTAATTGTTCTTTTTTTTCTTGAAGCGCCCAAGCTAGTATTTTTTAAAGATGCCAGATGATCTCAACCACGCCGTTCAGCCCGAAAAGCGCAAATTTTGAAAATGTTTGGCTAGGTTGATTTCACACACTGAAAATATTCAGCAAACATTACTTAACAAAAGTAACGACCAGAAAGGGTACATGATTCTCCTTCCGGCTGGTTGCGTTGCTGGTCCGAGTTTTGTCTGGATCTCGATTTCTACAAATTGTTGTGGCTTGCCAGCTGCCGGCGGAGCTGGTGGAAGAATCGGACCATGAGGAGGTTGGGGAGGCCAGTTCTGGAGACTGGGGAAGGCTCTGATGGAGGCTCTGCATCGGACTGCAGAGATAGAGCCAGGGCCGTCCGACATTTCCCAGCCACCGGAGAGGCAGCTGCCTTTGGAGGCCGATATGAGTGAGGAGGAAGAACAGATGGAGCCTGTTCCAGATGCGCGTATGCGCAGAGCTGTTGGGGGAGGGGAACATCGGAGGACAAGGAGTCGACTCAGGAAGGCGAAACACACGTGGACACTGAATGGCCCCTCCCTGGCTGGAGGAATAAATAGAAAATAAGTAGGAGACAACAGTTTTGTCTTTCTGAAGATTCTGCTTCCTTGTGTTTCGTGCCACGGACACTGCTTGGCAGAACTTAATTTGCAACCTTTGGGCTAGGAATTATCGCAAGGAATTGATAAGGTCTGTTGCCTGGAGTTTTCTGCAGGTGAATGCAATTAATTCACAAGAGGTAAATAAAGAGAGTGGGGTTTTTCTGTGACCGGAGGAGTCTGTTTATTGCTTCTGCTAAGGCTGGGTCAGAACACAAATTCTCTTCACGCCCATCTTACCTAGAGGATGGTCAGCCAGCATCGGAACCCGGCTAACGGTTAGGGTCAATTCCTTCCCGGTCTCCTCCTTTTCAGACACGGTGGGCTGAAAGCATATTTGTTGACGCGGTTCTGGGCGCTGTAAGGAGTTTAAGCCTGAAAGCAGGAAACAAAACCATGTTTTTCCCCCTCTTCCCAACCTGTAAGGTCTGAACTGTTCAAAACTTTCTTCCGATTCAAGACCCCAGGAATTGGCATTTGAGGTTGGGCTTCACTAGAACACCACCTAAGGATGCTTCCAGCTCAGTTCTGTTCCTGGAAACTCGTTCCATTTTGCTAAATGCCTCTTGGGAAAGAAGGGCTTGCTGCCATCTGGCTGGACAAAGCTTTCCCCGATAAGTTTACAGCCACCCATTCTGCTTCTTTGGAGCCCTCCAGATGTTCTCAACCTCTGGGAAAGGGTGATTCTGTATCTCGGGGGACCATGGTGCTCTCTGAGCTGGGTTGTTTTCTTGCAGATGTTTCATTACTCAAACTAGGTATGTTCCCTAGTTGGGTCATGAAACGTCTGCATTCCTCTCTACAAAGCCCACTCCCTCCTAGCACGGATGATGTTCCCTAGTTGGGTCATGAAACGTCTGCATTCCTCTCTACAAAG